GTGTAGCATGTCTCACAATGGTTATGGTGGACTCGAGCAGACTAAGGTACCAGCCTGGTTGAGCTATGGGTCATGACTTGATCCCTGTGCATTCTCGTTTGTACGTGATGGACTAATGTACAAGTCTTCAATGCGTCTCTTTCTTTCTTTCTTGCAGAGGCGGCCTGGACCCGTGGTGCAGCAGCCACGCCCACACGGGATGAAAGCTCCATCGCCTGCAGAAATGAACCCTTCAAGGATGGTACTTAAAAAGAAATAATAATAATTTATTATGATTTTTATTTTACGAGCAGATTGCTTATTTTTATTTTTTGAATTAACGTAATAGGTAATTTATTTGTTTTTTGTTGAGAAATAAATATGGCATTTTATTTTGTAGAGGGAAAAATGTTGAAAAATGGATTGCAAAATGATACAAATTGGATTCAGCCATTTTTCTATCCTTAAAAGTTGTGATTACTTGCTAATTAGAGTGTTTTAAAAGTCGCTAGGCGCTCGACCAGCGCCTAGGCGGGGCCTAAGCGGCGTTTAGTCGGAGCCTAGAAATCAATATTAAATACATTATTTTTTATTTATTTTAACTATCTACAAAATAAAAACTATCTCAATTTATAATAAATCCACATACATAAGTCCAAATAATAATATTAATATATTTTAAAGAAAAAATGAGAAAAAAATAATGTAATTAGTATTTTAAAAAATAATAAAAAAAACTGAAAAATTGCCGCCGAGTTCGCGTAGGCGCTGCCTAACCGCCTGGCCGCGGAGTCCACCAAGTCCGCCTAGGAGCGTTTAAGGCTGCCTAGTCGCCTGATCGATTTTTTCTGTCAATTTGTGAAAATTGGAGGCGGCCCTAGACTAATCGCCGCATAGGCGGATTTTTGGAAATGTAATTGCTATGTGGATCCTAAAAAGATAACCAATTTGCTCACTGTGTGCTGTTCTTTTGATGTTAAGCATAAGTGGAGGAGATATAGCCAGAGTCCACAAAAGAATAATCAGAGTAATTGGGCCTCTGCTCAGCCTGGTATGCAAGCAATATTCTTGGGCTTAGGCCCAAAATCTTGTGGTACTGGCGTTTTTATTCCCCAAACCCAATGCACTAATCGCCCATTTAACAAGAGGCCCGGTACGTAATTTCTCTATCTCTCTCAAATATGAGGGTCGCTATGTAGTATTTGGTGGAGTGTATATAACATGAATTAGATTATATGCATTATTATTTTTATTTTATTATAATTTTTTATATGTGATATGATATCACCATTTGAAGATATTTGATTTTAGATTCATATTGTACATATAAATTAATAAATAAATACATGCACCTTTGTATATAAAAACTAAATTATATATCGATCCTACTTGAAAAATTCTAAATTTATCGACCAATTCTATTATATGATCTAAATATGAAAATCATCTTCTTTTTTTTAGGTGTTATTTTAGATAAAATAAGGACATACTTTTTTTCAAGAGTTATTCGAAACTTATGAAAACCATGCATTTTTTTTAGAAGAAGACCAAATGTTGGAAGAAGTGAAGTTCTTGTAAAACATTATTTATTTCATTCTCTATTCTATATATATTATATTATGCAACTTTATATCATGTAATTAAATAAATGTATATATCTGAGACATAATTGAAAAATTTATAGTCCCCCTAATTAAATTATTATGATCCATGATATATATGATAAATATATAATTGACTTAAATAAATATATGTGTAATTATTTAGTTTTCTCTTTTTGCAGCTTTCTCCCCAGTTTTGCTGCCTGCACGAGTGGTTCAAGCCCTCAAACTCAACGTGCATGAGCTTGGAAAACATACCAATAACCCTCAATCAACAGGTTATAATTTAATTAATTAATTAATTAATTTAGCTTTAATTTGTTGTTGTTATTTATTTAATTTTTTATATAATAACACTATTATTTATTTATTTATTGATTGATTGATTGATTTTTGTTTGGACTACAGAGCAAAGCAAAAATATTGCCAAAAAGGATGACAAAAAGCAGGAAAAGGATAAGAAGGAAAATGGAATTTATATTTCACCAGACATTTTTTTACCTGAAGAGTGGACTTATTGATTAGTTTTTTAATCAGTAGGAACAATACAGGTGGCGCTCTAAGAATAAAACAAAAAAAATATATAAATAGTTTTTCTTGTTTTTTTTTTTAATTTTTTTTTTTAAAAAAGCTATTTCTCTGGAAAATACAATGCAGAATACTTATACAATTCCAAATTATTTTGCACACCAGATTTTCATATTTTCGTTATATTTGATAAATGACACGTACATAAAAATAAAAATATTATAATTATATATATATATGCTTTATTCATTGCTGCCGACGAGATTGCATTAGCATATCTCGATTATTATTATTTAAATAAATATGATCGACTTATATCTTTAGTATGATTATCATTATTTTTATTTTTAGTATCTTTGTTTGTATTTATTTATGATTCGTAGTGGACTTATTGTGTTTGAACCTTTATTTGTAACTAGTGCATGGCCCGTGCGATGCACGAGAAAACAAGATTACTTATAAATTAAATATACAAATAAATTAATCAAGATTTACCTATCATTTTTAAATTAAACCGTGTTGGACACAATCCGACCGGATGGACCCGAGAACCAGTTTATAATCAGTTTAGTTCACTTGAATAAAATATTTGCTATTGAATTCGTCAACACCAGTTGGTTGAACTGGTAGGATCGATACGATTTTCTAAATAAATTTTAGTATATTTAAATTTATTTTAAATAAAATTACATACGTTAATAAAATAGAAATTTATAAATTGTTTATCAATTAATTTAAACATTTGAATTTTTAAATTATTTAGATATTTAAGTATTACATTTTATTCAATTTTATTACAAAAAGTATACATAAGCGTATTTTAAAGAAAAATAATTAAATTGTATGATTTTTATAAATTAAATTGTATAATTAAATTTTATGTTTATATTAAAGCGTTTTTATACATTTTATTGCATGATTTTTAAAGAAAAAATAAGAAAAATAATAAAACTACTATTTATGAGTTGCGTTAAATGCTGACCTGTTTTTTTGCTATTAATTTTAGTAAATAAGATGGCTCTTTATATAAGTATAATATAAGTATAGATAGATATGTATTTGGCTTATTGTGTTAGTATGGTATGACTTGAATGTAATAGGTATTAAAATAAATGTGTAGAAGGAAACAAGCAGTTATTGTATTTGAACGAACAAAAAAATAGTTTTTTTTTTTTAAATAGTTTCTTTGTTCTGTGAACTGTATCTTTCTTCTTCCCATCTATCTGCTGCATCATTTGGTATCAGTTAACCAGGACGATTTTCGATGCCACCGAGACGACGAGATACCGAAATTGACGATCATCTTCAACGAATGGATGATCGGTTGCAATTGTTGGACACTCGGGTTACGGACCTTTCGACGGGTAT